TAAAGATTTGAATTTTTCGGTGAGTTTCATTATAATCGAAAGGTTTTGTAGCGGCTAGATTATGGGTTTATTTTATTTTTTGGAAAAATATTAAATTTTTTTGTGGTCGATTGAATTTTTTGGTGTCGAAATATAGGTTTAGGGTCGTCGATTGAACTTTCCTATTAGGGTTTTAACTAGAAGGTAGAGAGATTTTTTTTAGAAAGAGAAAAAAATATAAGAGCTTTGTGAAGAAAATGCTAAAATTTTTGGTTAACGATGCCATTTTGAAAATCCCCAACCGACATATGACCTTGTTACTTGCATGTGAACTCACGTACTAACTCGACCTGGAGCACAAGTTTTCTTCTGTTTTTTTTTTAATTTTCATTTCATTTTATTTTTGTTTTGTTTTTCTGTTTTATTTTATTTCTCTTTTTTATGAAAAAATTGAAAAGATTGTTTATAAATATTTATTTTTTGCATGATTATTAATTAATTGCATGATAATTTATATATTATATTAGTTTATGATTATTATTGCATGATATTTATATTATTGCATGATATTAGTTGAATGAAAATTTTTGTTCATTTCAATTGATTTTCTTCCTCAAAATTAAAAAAAAGGGTTTTAAAAATAAATTCATGAGTCCTAACAAACTATTGGAGGATTTTTCATGGATTTAATTTTTTTTTTTATGAATTCTACCAAACTACTGAAAAATTTCATAATCTAAGTTTTGTGAAAAAAATAGTTTTCTTAAAATTTTACTAACATATTAGAGGATAATTTTTGATAAAAAATCTTACCAACATATTGAAAAATATTTTTGAAAATAATTTTTTTTAAAAAAATTGATTTTTAATTTTCGATGATAGAATTACTAAAAGAATTGCAAATAGTAATCATTATATAAATTCCTAGGTGATAAAATTGTTTTTAAATTTTACCAGCATATTAAAAAATTTAGATAAGATTTTTTTATATCAAGATTCCAAATATCATTTGTTATCACAAATAAAGTTTTTAATTAAATAAATTCATTGATGGAGCATCTTCAAAATGAGAAACTAGTCTCCATGAATACTCTTAAGGTGAAAAAATTATCTTAAATTGTTACCAAACTATTACAGTAATTTTAATATCAATTTTTAATAACAAAATTATTTGGTAAAATTATAAAAATATTTTAAGGTTTGGATAGCTTGAAATCAAACTATTGCCATCATTTGGGTGGGTGTTGTGAGGGTGCTATAACTTTTCTCACGTGTAACTGTACTTTCAAACTTAAATTTAGTTTCATATACTAGAATCTACAATTTAAAAATACCTAAGTTACGCTTAAGACTTCTCTTTAAAAAGATTCAATTCGGTGGTCAATCACACTTAAATAAAAAAAATATTAGTGATGAATCTTAAAATCTATATTTAGCGATAGGTCTCCAGATCTATAAGTTATGACACATATTGACAAATATAAATGTATTTACTTAGAAATAAATAATAAAAATATTTTAAAAATGTAAATACAAATTAATGCCAAATATAAGTATATGTCTTCCTTGGACCTCGATCTCAATGAAGCACTTTCTATTTCATCACTATGATTATTTCCTCATATTGTTTTTTAAGAGGTGTGAGAAACCAAGAGAGTTTATAAAACGGAGATAAAGGAAAATGAAGTTTAAAAAAAGTTTTTCATGAATGATAGAAAGTATGCTGCAAAGGAAAGTATTAGAATAAAAGCCATTATAAGATGACAAATCATAAAAGTAATTAAATTAAAAAATGAAAGAAAAAAGTGCATTTGACACTTACCACATTCACATCATTCTATTAAAAATAAAAGAAATTAAAAAAGCTAAAAAAGTTGAAAAGAATATAAAATTGATAACAAATTAAAAAAATTAAATATTGAAAAAATTAAAAAAATTACAATTGACAAAGCAAAAATGCACGGGACCTTACTAGATCATCATTTGTTAAATGAGAAACTTAAAATTTTAAAATGTTGAAATGGAATAAAAAAATATTTTAAAAAAAAGACTGGCTTTCAATATTTTAATATATTAATATAGGATTAATATTTATTTTTAATATAAATTATAATTTAATTATATATTAATATAATTTTTTATTAAATTAAGATATTAACTAATATTTTTATATAAAAAAAGATTATGAGATTGAAGAGAATATTTTGGTTGAATTTAAAAGCTAAATCAGTGCCGGTGAACAATGATTGATAGTGATAGACGATGACCAAAATGGCGATCGATCATCGATTTTTGGATTTGTTTTAAATGCATGTATAATGTGTTAGAAACTTTAGAGAGAGTTGGCAATTGAAGATTAAAGAAGAGAGAGGATCCAAGGAAAAATGAGAGATGGTCTCAAATTTTGATATTTGTATTGAGTAACGACAATATCTTGGTCAAGCCTAAAACCGAGGAACATGTTATCTTTAGCCACATGGCAGTTTTTATGACATAAACATGTTATCATGACATCATCATATCCGGTTAATATTTTGTTAGAAATTCACTCTTGGATTAAAAAAACATTTATTTAAATATTAATGATTAAATTTCAAAATTTAACAACTTGGTAATAATTTAAAAAAAAAAAAAAAGGCTCACGGTCCACGCGCTGATGGTTGAACTACCCTGATAAAAACTGGTGGTTTCACGGGCTGATGAACTTCGGTTATGGTTCAGTGTTGAAAAACAACAAAAGAAGAAATGACAGCAAAAAGCAAATAAGACAAAGATTTGACAGAAGAATGGATTTGTTATAAAATTCTAAAATGCAAAAATAATTTGGTCAAGCAATTATATATATATATATTATCCTTGTATATAAAAAATTATATATTTTTTATGTTTAAATTAAAGTGATTAAATGTAAAGGATATAAGGGCTCGAATTCTAACCATATTCCCCCGCTCCTGTACTCAAAAAAAAAAAAAATCCCTATTTTATCAAGGTAGTTTGCACATTATTCTTTTAATGGATTTCATTCATGAAGAGCAGTTTCTGACAACATATAGTGGTAGGTCATGAGGACCTCACCTTGTTTTTTTTTTTTTTTTTTAAATTCTAAATCTAACTTTAAGATTCAAATTTTGAACGTCTTATATAAAAGAACATAAGAAAAAAAAGGACATATGAATTCATAACGTTCATATTCTTTTTAACTCTTTTTAGGAGAAAAGCAGAAAAAAAAAAAAAAAAGAACAAATAAAGTGGTTACCTCAAGATATAGTGCCGTAACTTTTTTTACGCAGCGACAAAACTTTGTATTCCGTTCCTCACAATGATAACTTGGCTTTTTCTAATACTTTATGTTTAAGCATTAATACTCTATAAATTTATGATAACTGCACGAGCTCTGTTTTTTTTTTTTTTTTTTATAATTTCCAAACATGAGCTTTGTTTTGAGAGCGTGGTTTTAAGGAGTTTGGATACTAGCTTAGGCTTACGTAAATTTAATCATGCATGGACGCCATTTACTTATAATTAAAAAGTTATTATAAAATATTCGAATGATAAATATTATATATTTAAATGTTGAATCTGAATTCTCCTTTCATTCAAATTTTTTTAAAAAAAATTTTAAGTCAGATTTGTTATTTATGTTAATTTTTAAATAAAAAGTAATTAAATTAAATATTCTATTGAATATTTTATTTATAAGACAAATTTATGTAATTTTTTTTAAATCAACAAAATGAAAACTTAATAACAAAATTCAATGAATTGAAGTACAACAAAATTAACATTCATTCATATAATTATAAGAAATTTTACTGTAATCTAAATGATAAAATCATTGTAAATATTAAAACAAGCTTATATGGTACTAAAATATTATCTTTACCAATGTTTTTGTGTTTAACGCTGGAAAGTATTTCAATTACGATTTTTTTATTATAATATCATAATTATTTAATTATAATTAAAAACAATGTGAAAGTCCACTAATTATAAAAATAGATTTCACATAATATTTTGATAGATTTTATATAATTTTAAAATTTGATTGATTAATTATAAGATTAATTATCAAATATATTGACAGCAAAAATTTTTAATTTCACAAGTAGAGTTAAAATGGTGATACATATTTTTTAATATATATTTAAAACATAAAAAATTAATTTAAAAAGGAAATGAAACATATATCATTATTTTAATTTTATTTATGGAGTTAAAAAACTCTAATATCAATATATCAAATAATTTTTTTAATTATAATATAATTATTATAAATGATATGTTCCCAACATTCATGATTTGATTCCTTAATTAATCACATTCTTTTACAATTCCATCATTTGTAAAAGGGATTAAATATAAAAAGTAAATAAAGAAAGCTTAATTAAGTTATTAAAGTAGAAGTTAGCCTTTTCTCCTTTTAAAAAAAAAAAAATCCCAAACGTGTCAAGCCGAAAACCTTCCATTTTTTTTATTACAAAAAGAACTAAATCATGAAAATGTAACAAACAAAACTCCACCAATCACTCAAAAGCTGGAGATGTTTGGGACTTGCTTAATCAAACAAAATCATTTGCCCAAAGGTTAAAAAAAAAAAAAATTTTATATTTCTTTCTTTCATGAATTATTATTTTAATAATGACTAATTTTTTATTTTGAAAAATTCTTGTTTAAATGTATATCGTATTTATAAAAATGTAAATATTATCCAGGATGAAGCCGTTTAAGTAGAAAATATAATACGAGATTCATATCTATACCTTGTCTTTAATCAACATTTTCTATCACAAAATCAAAGCAATAAAAAAATTTTGGCTTTTTATTTATGAGATGGATAATACAACCGAAACATAATTAATTAAGTATTTAGGGACACATAATTTATTTACCTGATAGTGAGCTTGTTAGACACGTTGTGAAGATAGAACTAAAAGTCAAAATATGAAAACATGAAGGAGGACAAGGTCGGTGTTTTCAGATAGACACATAAAAAGAAAACAAAAGACAAAAAAAAAAAAAAGTTGAGAAAAATGAGAAAGGGACGGCCCTCTAGAATTTCTTGACTTTTATGAGCCCAAATGCAACACCAAATAAGCTATTTACCCCATTAAAACCAATTTGTTAAAAGAAAATGACAAAGTGACTAGAAGGGTTCGGTGAAGATAATGGCTCTACACCCACCATCTCTTAAACAAGCCTCAATCACTCCCCTGCCTCTTCCTTTGCCTTCCATCCATTTTTCTTCCCAAAAAACCATGCTTGATCCTGGCAAAGAACTGCCCAAATCTTATGTCAGTTCATCGGATAAAATAGGAAGGAGATTGAGTGATAGTTATGATAGTTATGATCATGCCATGAAATATGAGTCTAGAGTGCAAAAGACTGCTCAAAATTATGCAAATTATAGGAGTTGCAACAGCATGGAAGGGAGCTTTGGAGCTGAAACTTCCATGATAGAAGATGAGTCTGGATTTTCCACTCCTCCTTTATGGAAAACTAGTCCTTCCAGGAGTCCTCTTGATCCACAGAACATTAATTACAGATGCCTATCACCATCATCAAAAGCTCAAGCTATAGCTAGAGGCCAAAGGGAGCTTATGGAAATGGTTAGTAGAATGCCTGAGTCCTGTTATGAACTTACCTTGAAAGATCTTGTGGAGCATCAACCTGTTGACGTTGTTGAACCAAAAAAGGAGAGTTTAGCTGAAGGGAGAGATGTGATCAATGAAGATGCATTCAAGAGCGAGAAGGGGAAGAAGAAGAAGCAGAACAATCCGAAACCGCAAATTAATAGAAGTGGGAGCATAGATAACGGAGGGTTTCTTCTGAAAATGGTGCTTCCAATTTCCTTGGGGTCTAAGAAAAAGAAGAAGAAGAAGAAGAAGAATGATTCGAATACAAATCATAATTCTAAAGTTTCTCCGAAGCCAACGGTGTCAGATGCATCTGATAAGAGTGTAGATAAAGAGTGGTGGAAGAAGAGATCAGGTTCGAGTGAGAGTGAGAGTGGTGGATCGACTATAAACAGTGGAAGCGCCAAAAGCTGCCGCAGTAACAGCACCAGTAGCAGCAGCAGCAGCTGCAGGAGCATCAGCGATACCAGCCGCAGGTATGTTATAACTGAAAATTTTGGTTATCTTTGCGCTTTGATTGAGTATTAATAGATAAAGTTATAAAATTAAATTTGTTGGATTTTAGGGGGGAGATCTAGGAATCAATGTTTTGAGTGATGGAGACCAAACGAAAGAAAATGGAATTGATTAAACGAGTAATAATTGATTTTCATTTCAATAATCAGTTTAAGCTCAATACTTTCTTTATCATAAAACAAATTAGGATTGTTTTTACCAACGGATGGTTGGCTAAGAGAGGAGCACATTCTCTTTATTATCTGGGTTCAAAAATAATTTTTCATGGATTTTATAAATCCGACATAGATAAGTTTGCTTGAATCGGTCCGAAGAGGGGATGTACGGAACAAAATTCAACAACCTTACCACATAACAAAAAAAAAAAAAAATTTAGGATTATTAAACTTTTTGCAAAAGATTAATTATTTCATCCTTGTAGAGATAATTTTACATAGGAAGCAGAGGAGATTGTTCTATAAATGCAGAGATGCAGAGTCATTGTCATATGGTAATGGTTATGTGTATCAAGTAATATTTAATTCTTTTTGAAAATTCTAGAATAGGTACATAGATGAAAGTTTCATCTACTGAAAATTTCCTTCTCGTTGCATCCTAGTCAAAGTCTTTTTTGGAGAAAAAGGGAAGCAAAAGAAAATAAAATCATGAACGACGTACATTTTTGTTTCAAACAAGACTGCAGCTTTTGCAACATTGAACAGAACCGCTTTTTAAATCACAATTAAGTAAAGGCAAGAGATTCAAATTTCAAACTATACACATCCATCTGGAAGGCGAGGTATTGCTACTATCACCAACTAATGCCTGAACCGACGAGTCAAAAGCTATTCTTAATTATAAGAACTCCAAGAATAAAATCCATAATGCACCAGAAAAGGGAGGGGATTAGATCTAGGGGTACCCCTGAGCACATATTGAAAAAAAGAAAGAATAAAAATGGTGGGGATGGTGGCTTGCTGCATTTGTACACTTTATGACATATCAATTGGCACAGTTCTCGTTGCTTAAAAACTTGCTTCACCACTTGAACAGCTTAAACTAGATTGTGTGTTTATATAGCATAATGCATTATACTGCAATTAACCCCAAATTTCGGCTACAACAACTATAGATTACTGTATCTGAAATTGAGATTGCAGCAAAGTAGAGATGACCGCTGTTTATCAGCTGTAACAATTTTTTCTTGTGTGCAATGCAGGCATAGGAGGGGTGGTTGCTTGGCTTTCATCCTTGCTAGGAAAAGCAAAGCATCGCGGTAAAAGTGCAGCCTTCAGCCTCCTTTGAAAATGGAGTTCATGTGTAATTATCTTTCCAATAATGTTAATGTTTGGGTACAGTGGATTCAGGAGATTGCAGAGAGAAGCAGATAAGCCTGTGTATGTTAATATTCAGAGATTCTAATTAGAGTGTTGTTTTTGTTTTTTCCCTTCCTACTTAAATTGAAGATCAATCGTGATTTTGCTTTCCAAGATGCTGCAGTGAGCCATTGTGTTAGAAATTGAGAAAATTTCCCTTTCTCTTAATATTTTGTTTAATGGATATTAAGTTTAATCTTAATCATACCATTACCTTTTCAACTTCACCTTGGTGCAGTGGAAACCTCCACAGGCATTTGGGCTGAATCTAGTGTCAGGAAACTGAAATCATATCACTTACAATTTCTTGTATTACAATTATGCAATTATCCAATTATAATAAAAAATTATTGAAAAGTTCACCACTTATTATTATTTTTTTTTATAAATATTAATAAAATATTAAATTATAATTGATTAATTATACTAAAATAGGAGATATGTTCCGCAGAAATGATATGCTGACACATGCCAGCTTCACTCCATTGCACTTTTCTTTTTTCTTTTGGCTTAAACAGCTTTGCAAAGTGGCCAATCGGGAATCTCCCAAAGTTCTATTCTTCTTTAAATCAATGGAATCCTACAGTTTATATTGTCTTTTCTCTAAGTTGATCCCTAATTAATGTAATTAATTGGTATAAATTTTGAAATGAATTTTTCCAAATTCTTGACAATATATAGTGTTGAGACTTGTGAATGTATATTTTCTATAGGATGCTTAAGGCAGACGAAATAACTAAGTAGTTGCTTTATTCTATCATTTCAGAATTGAACATGCACTTTATTCTAGTAGTTGAGGACTGTATACGAGGAATCAAGTACTATATTGCAATTTCTACCACTCCAGGATTCACGATTGGACATGGAGCAACTAATAATGATAGGCTTCATTATGAAGTTTATGATCCTCGGAATCACAGACTTTGTACATTCAGGCTATTACTTCATTAATGTTACCAATCGTTATACCTTAATGGCCATATGCCTGCATCAGTAACATTCAGGCTATTGCTTCATTAATGTTCATTCATGATTTCAAGACAGATAAATTATTTGTTCAATTAATCACATCATCATTCATGAACTATTAAAAAAAATCAAATCAAGCATCAATCATTCTTTATTTCACATTCTTTGCTTTCTCTATTACTATTTATGTCCCTCTTCTTTTTTATTGTTTTATTCTTTATACGTAAGATTGATTTGAACATTTAAAACAGTACTTTTGGTATTTCTTAATTTTATTTTTTTCATGAAACATTTTCCATCACAACTTTTAGCAAGCTCCTGGAACCAAAAATTACATCAACGCCAATAATAATGGGTATGAAATTCAACAATCCTGACAATCTCATCAATTATTTCTCGTTGTCGTTGATTTCAAATGTTTAATTTTTAACTAAACCCTATATCTATCTTGAATGTCAAATATGTAATATACAACTTATCCAAAGGTAATTTGTTGGCCAACATTTTAACTGATGTAAAATTTTTCTTTTGGGCAATTAAAACATCAACATAAATATAAAAATGATTAAATGGACTTTCTCATATATTTTCTTATATTTCCATGTACATAACGGTGCACGATTGGATAGGCCCTCCTTATGCTTTGCCATCCTTGATTTGATAAGCCCATTTTAGGAGAGCAAATCCAAAACGATGACTTCGGCTTAAGATGCACAAGAACCATGTTAATGGATAAAAAGAAACCATTAATAATTTAACATGCACCATCAACAGCATATTAAAACTCTACTATATAAATAGTTGAACATTTAAATTTTCCTCTAATCCAAAAGGCTGCAAAGCCCATACTTTTTTTTTTTTGCATGGCTGTGAGTGCAGCCTCTATACTCAATCGTCTCCTTCAACTCAAAAACCTTAAACCCCAAAGCCAATCCAACAGCCTTAAATCCATAACCGGATCAATCCTGAACCACCTTAAGTCAGGTCGTCTTCAACAAGCCGTTTCTGTTCTCTTTGCCTCCCCTGAACCCTTCCCTTACTCTCTTTACGCCCATCTCTTCTACCTTTGTTCCGTCAAAAAAGCTATCGTTGAAGCCCGAAAACTTGAATCCCACTTAGTCACCTTCTCCCCATTGCCCCCAGTGTTCCTATTGAACCGTGCCATTGAGACTTACGGCAAATGTGGGTGTTTAGTTGATGCAAGGGAACTGTTTGATGAAATGCCTGAACGCGATGGGGGTTCATGGAATTCGATGATAATGGCGTATGCTCGAAATGGGTTTCATGAAAAGGCTTTGTGCTTGTTTTCGGAGATGAGTAGGGAAGGAATTCTGCCGAATGAGATCTCATTCGCTTGTGTTTTGGGCTCTTGCGGTGTTGTTTTAGAGCTTGGCCTTTCAAGGCAAGTTCATGCGATGGTCGTGAAGTATGGTTATTGTAAAAATGTGATTTTGGGCAGTTCAATTGTTGATGTTTATGGGAAATGTGGGGCTATAAGTGATGCAAGGCAGATGTTTGATGAGATTGAGAATCCAACTGATGTTTCCTGGAATGTGATTGTTAGGCGGTATCTTGAGGTAGGGGATGGAAAAGAGGCTGTATTTATGTTTTTCAAGATGTTTCAGGAAAATGTTAGGCCTTTGAATTTTACATTCTCTAATGCTCTTGTTGCTTGTTCAAGCCTGTCTGCACTTAAGGAAGGGATGCAAATTCATGGAGTTTTGATTAAGATTAACTTTGAGAAGGATAAAGTGGTTTCTAGTTCACTTATTAATATGTATGTGAAATGTGGGAGTCTAGAGAGTGCTCGTACAATATTTGATAAACTTGTTTACAAGGATTTGATTTCTTGGACTGCAATCATGTCAGGGTATGCTATGAGTGGAAGAAGTAAAGAAGCCAGGGAGCTCTTTAATATAATGCCTGAACGGAATGTAATCTCGTGGAATGCAATGTTGGCAGGGTATATTCGTTTGTTTCAATGGGAAGATGCCTTAGAGTTTGTTTTTCTTATGCGGAGAATGACTGAAGGCATTGACCATGTGACCCTTGTATTAATTTTAAAAGTCTGTGCTGGCCTTTCAGATGTTGAAATGGGGAAACAGGTTCATGGATTTGTCTATAGAAATGGGTTCTTCTCTAATAGCTTTGTGGGTAATGCACTTCTTGACATGTATGGCAAATGTGGGACCTTGAACAGCGCCAGAGTTTGGTTTTACCAAATGAGTCAGGGGCGGGATGCTGTTTCTTGGAATGCTTTGTTGACTAGCTATGCTCAGCATCAGAGGAGTGAACAGGCTATTACATTTTTTAGTGAGATGCAATGGGAGTCAAAACCAAGCAAATTTGTATTTGGAACCCTTCTGGCAGCTTGTGGAAATATATTTGCACTTAATCAAGGCAAACAAATCCATGGATTCATGGTTAGAAATGGTTATGAGCTGAATATGGTGATAAGAGGAGCTTTGGTTGGCATGTACTGTAAATGCCGTTGTGTTTTATATGCTCTCATAATTTTCAAAGAGGCAGATTCACGTGATGTGGTTCTTTGGAACATCATGATTTTTGGATTTTGTCACAATGGAAAGGGCAGAGAGGCACTTGAATTGATTGATTTGATGGATGAGGAAGGTGTCAAACCAGACCATGTCACATTTCATGGTATTCTGCTTGCATGCATATGTGAGCATGAAGCAGAGCTAGGTAAGCAGTATTTTAATTCAATGAGCAATGAATATTGCATTATACCCCGGATGGAGCACTATGAGTGTATGATTGAACTCTATAGAAGGTGTGGTTGCATGGAGGAGCTTGAGAAATTTATTAAGAATATGCCATTTGTGCCAACTGTTGCAATGTTAACAAGAGTCTTTGATGCATGCAAAAAGCATGGTGCTGTGAGGTTTGGAGAATGGGCTGCTGAACTACATAATCAATTGAATCCTTCTACTCCACTAAGATTTGAACTCGAGAACAGAAGGAAAATAGGTAGGTAGGGAATTGTTGACAGATAGTAGCTATGTTCTCCAGAAATGCCTTCATGCAAGAATGCCAACTATTATAATACATCATTTGTGAGAACTCAACAAAACGAAATGGCAAAATCTGATGTCATTTATGTGATGATGGCTGTGAGGCAATATAGTCAGACTGCTTGCCAAATCACCAGTTGGAGCAGAATGCATAATACCATCAATTGGAATACTTGGAAGGGGATCTAAGCACACATCGCGCAATTGCTATTGGCTTCAGCACTATTGAAGAAGATAATATTGAGGAATCAAAAATTATAAATTAGAAAGAAAAAAGCCTGAGAATTAGAGCTCACATCTACTTTGAGGCGTGAGGCGAGCTAAGAGCAACTGTATGTGCTGATTAATAGGAGATGCTCTGAGTGCTTTCATGCTCCTGGGAAGAAAGATACAATATTACACTGGATAATTTTCAACCTAGCTAATTGGGGAACAATAACAAAAGGGGACCATATCTTGCAGAAGATTACACTGTGATCTTATCATGTAAGCATTCTCATCTTAACTTGAGAATCCTGCAGCATAAAGATCAAATTCGTTGCATGCTTGCTTGATCAGATGTGGTAAGATAGAGACCTGACACTCCTCCAAACTTTTGAAGTCAGGTATCAAGTGTTAGAGAACCAAAGTTTGGAGTCTCCGTGCATTCTTCAATCAACTTTTAATAGCTTTGTTTAGCCTTTCTTTTTGGTACTTAAAAGTTTGGTAATGGGAGGCTACCCAATTCCAAGACCAAGGCATGTGGCAGATCTCATCAAGAACTTACATTGGACTTAAAGATTGCCTACCAAAAGAGACTTATGACGGCAAGAATTGCACCTAGATCTTGTTATTCATGTAAACTGTAATGTTCAGTTAAATTAATCATATAAGTTGTCATTGGCTTCAATATGTCACAGAACACACCTTGGAAACAAGAACACTAAAAAGCAAATATTCTTTTATGTAAAAAAAAAAAAGCAGCCCATACTCCATAGCGTATATACAAAGAAGGCCGTAGGGCTGGAGTGATCACGTCAACCCATGTAAAAGAATAAAAAAGAAAAAAAAAAACAAAAATGGTATCGACAGCCTATTTAAAATTTTAATTTTACATTATCAATTTAATTATTTATGTTAAAATAATATTTTTTATGTTTATTTTTATTTTTCATTACTTCAAAATTTTCATAAAATTTTTTAGGCTGCTAGGATACTTTTAATCTATTTCACTCTAATTGATACAAGTTTTATTATTCTTCTTACCTATTTACATTAATAAATTTTTATTTTTTTAAATATAAAAGTTTTATGTTTTTAGCCTTGAAAGTTTTTTTTTAACTATTAAACTTATCAATTTACCAAAAAAGTAATTAATTTAACTTTTAAGTTGCTAACTTAATTATTTATGTTAAATTAATATATTCTAATGCTTATTCTTATTTTCTATTATATTTAAAATTTTTATTGCTTGTATTTTTAGTGTGTTATATACTTTTAATCTATTTTACGTCAAATAAGATCAATTTTATTATTACTCTCACTTACATTAATAATTTTTTTGATTTTTTTAATCATAAAATATTATTTTTTATATATTTTAGTTAATAACATCTATGGTCTACAAACTTTGAGTCAAATTTTATTTTCATCTATTCTTTTAAAAAAGTTCTAATGCAATCATCAATTACCCAATGTTACTTTATTTTGATTCTTTTATCTATGAACTATCTAAATTAATGATAAATATTAATTGGTAGCACGTGAATTGTATTAGATGATAGCTTATGGAGTAGGTTGAGAGATTAAAACAAAATTTCGCTTAGAGACTAAAAATGCTAACATTCAATTTTTAAAATTTTAGATATATTTGCTAAAATATTAAATTTAAAATAAAATTTTTATTGTAATATAATTTATTAATTAAATTTTTTATTGTAAATAGAAAATAGATTTTCAAAAATTAAAATTAAGTTAAACATTTCAAAATCTTTTTAAAAAAATTTCATATCATTTTAAAAACAAAAATATTATTTTACTAACAAATCATAATTGAAATATTCTATTCAAAAAAATTTTTTGCTATTAAAAATATTAAATACATTTTTCCAAAAACTATACTAATTAAAAAAATCAAATATATTTTACAAAATATATTTTTATAAAGAAGAAAACAAAAAGAAAACAAAAAGTAAAATAAAATAATTAAAGAAAAATGACTCTATATATTTTAAATATATTTTATTAAAATTATGACTTATAATAATTTTTTATTTTTATTATGATTTGATTTATTAGTAAATAATATTCTTAATATAAAATAGATTTAAAAAAATTAAAATTAAGTTAAAAAATTCAAAATCATTTTTAAAAAATTCCATATCACTTGAAAAATTAAATAAAAATGTCTATATCAATTTAAAGAAATTAAATAAAAATTAAAATCAATTTAAAATATTAAGTAAAATTTTCATTTCATTTTAACAAATAAATTTATTAATCTATTTCTATCAAAACAATTTATTTTAATATATTTTCTATAAAAATTTTTTATATTTATATAAATTAAAAAATATTATTTTCAATAAACCAAATTTTCCCATTACTAGATCGATGATGGTATGGGCCATCATGATTCTTTATTTTTTATTTTTATAAATATAAAATTTCAATAAAGAACATATTCAAAATAATTTTTTTAATAAAAAATTATGAATAGATTAATAAATAAATTTTTTTTAAATGATGTGAAAATTTTATTAATATTGTAAAATGATATAGAGTTTTTTATTTAATATTTTAAATCAATATAAAATTTTTTACTTAATTTCTTAATATGATTTGAAACATTTTTCAAAAGGATATTGAAAATTTTAATTTAATTTTAATTTTTAAAAATGTATTTCCTATTAAAAGTAAAAAATATTAAACAAATAAATTATATGACAATAAAATTATAAAAACATTGTTTTAAATTAATGTTAAATAAAATATACTTTAAATAAAAAAAATTAAAGATAGTCGCATCATTAATCTTGTACCTTTGAATAAAATTTTATTTTACTCCATTTTGCCACGTAAGATGTCACATAATATCTTCTACATGACTAAATTAGTATTTATCGTTATTTTAAACAAATTTATAGATAGAATGATTAAAATAGTATAATTTTAAATAATTAAAGATCCAATTAATTTTTTTAAAAATCAGGTACCAAAATCAAATTTTCCTCAAAATTTAGAGATTAATGATGCTATTAACTTTTTTTTTTCGAGATAGTATTTCTTGTTAATATTTTATTGATTTGCGTATAATTATATCTTTTATTTAATATAATTTTTAACTATTTTAAGAAGTACCAATTACATTAAATTTTAAAAAATAATAACAATTATTTTTTTAAAGTTATTTTGTTTTTAATTAATTTTTTAAATAAGTAATATAGTGAAAAATCGAAGACTAATTTTTTTTAAACATAAAGTGGAGATATTTTGAATTTTGAATAAAAAATTTTAAATTTGTTTTGCAATGTCATTATCTGTTAAATAAATATTACTTTTTTCATTTTAAAACTTGATCAATAATTGATATTCAACTATATAAATTTAATGATTATTAGATGTTGATTTTGTTATAAAATTAAAATACTTAAAGTTTGGATAAAATCCTCCTCTTTGTGCTTATTAAATTTTACTTTTATAAAAAAAAAAAAAAGTCATGGAACTCATTTGGATAAATACTTTTGTCACTAATACATTAATATTTTTTTATTAAGTAGTTCTTGTCTCCAACGCGCGTTGTCCTAACATGTCTTTTCTCTAACCCGTTCAAGCAGACTTACAGTGCTAAGGTAAACCCTTTACTTGCAAGGGAGGGAACTTAAAAGGAATTGCCAAGCTCAGCGCTACAGCAAATCAAAAATTTCTGTTATTAGGAGCCGTTTGTTTTGTAAAAATTAAATTAAAAAATATGTTTTGGAAAAATATTTATATTTTTTTAAAAAAGTAAAGATTTTACATTGCTTGGATAAATCAATAAAAATGTTTTTTTATTGTTTGATTATTTTTATTAAAATATATATTTTTTAAATAATATTGATATAATTATTAAAATATTTAAAATTATTTATTTTTAAAATTATTAATAATAAAAAATAATTATATTTAATAATAATATTTAATATTTAAATATTATATTAATATCAATATTAAACACTTAAAATAAAACTATTGTTATTTATATTATTATTTAAATTTTATAAAATAATATTAATATTTTTAAAATATTAAAAATATTTATACTATTAAAATAATTACATTTTATATTGAAAGTATCTATTATTAAAATTAAAACAATTATTAATTTATATTTATTATTAAAATAGTAAAATAAAGACATTAGTCAATAAAAATAAAATAATATATCTTAAATTGAAAAATATTAAGAAATGATAAAAAAACTTATATTAATATAATAATATTGTTACATTAAATATTCTTAATTATTAAAACAATAAAAATATTATTTACTATATTAATATCTATTATTAAAATAATAATTTATTACTATTTTTTAAGATTAAAAAAAATCAAAAGATTAAAATAACAAAAGATTTAGTTTTAATTTTAAAAAATATTTTTAATAATATGATAGTATTTTAGACTTGATCAAATCAAATTCAGGTTTAAAATATCATATTCAGGACTTGATTTAGGTAAAATTATAAAAGTTTTTAAATTAAAATATTAAAAGAATTTTAATATTAATATTTTAAATTTTTTTAAAAATTAAATAAATATAGATTTTATTGATATTATAATAATTTTGATCAAATTAAATTAAATTTAAATTTTAAAAAATTATGTTCAAAATACAGCCTGAGTAAAACTATTATCCCATCAATAAACAATTATTTTTTAAAAATTAACTCAAACTTTTTAGAAGGGAGATAATTTTTAAAAGAAATCCCTCATTTTTTCTTGACTAGTAAATGATTTTTGTTGATGAATTAATTTTTGATCAAACAAAAAAATAAAAAAAAATAAAAATCATGATTGAAAAATCATTTTCCGCAAAAACAAACACACCTAAATTTTATTGCAAAAAGAAATCTCTGTAATGAATTAGGGTTGCAGCAGGGCAAGTAACCCTGCAAGAAGAATAGGAGAAACATTAACCCCTAAACCTTGTAACTGCCTTAAAAGAAAGTAAACGGCGCATCAAATATTCTTGCTTTGTGTAGGGAACAAAGAAACATTTGCTCCATGCATGCGCCCTTTCCTAAAACCAATTTATTGGTCTCAAAAACCCTTTACTTCTCACTACACTAACCTCATAAAACACTCTTTATCCTTAAAGTCCATTAAATTTTCCCAAACAATCCATGCTCAGTTGATCAAATTCGGATTCAATGGCATAACTTTTCTGGGAAATCTTTTTGTCGATCTTTACTTCAAAGTTGGCTCTTTTAACGATGCTTCCAAAGTGTTTGATGATATAAATGACAAAAACATTATATCTTGGAACATTTGGTTGAATGGGTTGTTAAAGTCTGGTCATTTTAAGCAAGCATGTTTAGTGTTCGATGGAATGCCTGAAAGAGATGTTGTTAGCTGGAACTCGATGATTTCGGGTTGTGGGTTGATGGGGTTTTGGGGTTATGGATTGGAAGTGTTTAAGGAAATGCAGAATTTTGGTGTTAGACCGAGTAAGTTCACGTTTTCAATTCTGACAACATTTGTCTCGTGTGCTAGTCAGGCAAAGGAAATTCACTGTAAGATGATTACGAGTGGTGTTGGTTTGTCCGATTTGGTGATTGGCAATTCGTTGATTGATATGTATGGGAAGCTTGGCTTGTTAGAGTATGCTTATGGTGTGTTTTTTAGTATGAAAGAGGTGGATGTTGTGTCTTGGAATTCACTGATTTCGGTTTGTTGTAAGTCAGGTTATGCAGACTTAGCATTGAAACAGTTTGATCAGATGAGATTGGCTGGTTATTTGCCAGATGAATTTACAGTTTCCAAAGTGATTACTGTTTGTACTAATTTGAGAAATTTGGATAGGGGTAAACAAATCTTTGCTCTGAGTGTCAAGGTGGGATTCATCTCAAATTCCATTGTTTCAAGTGCACTTATTGACCTTTTTTCAAAATGCAACATATTGGAGGATTCAGTTCAGCTTTTTGAAGAAGTGGAATATTGGGACTCTGTGCTTTGCAATTCTATGATCTCAAGCTATGCAAGGCATGGCTCACAGGATGATGCTTTGCTACTTTTCCAGCTTGCCATGAGGGAGGATTGCAGGCCTACTGAGTTCATGCTTAGTAGTGCTCTAAGCTGTGTAACCATCCTTTCAGTTGAGCAAGGATACCAACTCCATTCTTTGGTGATAAAATCAGGTTTTGAGTCTGAATCAATTGTTGCCAGTTCACTTGTTGATATGTATTCTAAAATTGGATCAATTGACTCAGCAATGCTGATTTTCTCTGAAATACATGTAAAAGATCTAATATCTTGGAACACTTTAATCATGGGTTTGGCTCACAACGGCAGAGTTGTTGAGACGTTGGAACTATTTAAGAAACTACTTAGAGAAGGTCCGGCACCAGATCGAATAACACTTGCTGGAGTTCTACTAGCTTGTAGATATGGTGCTTTTGTAGATGTAGGAATGAGTATATTTTTATCAATGCAGGAAGAATTTGGAGTTATGCCTTGTGATGAGCATTATGCTTGTGTTGTGGACTTGCTCTTTCATGCTGGTAAATTCAAAGAAGCCTTTGATACTTTAGAAGCAATGCCTTTTGAACCTAGTTTTTTAGTTTGGGAATCACTAGTTCTTGCTACTGCAACTTATGCCGACCTAAATTTAACTGAAAGAGTAGCAGAAAAGATGATAGAACTGAAACCACAGTCATCTTTACCTTATTTGGTGTTGAGTCGTGCATATGAGATGAGGGGTAGATGGGAGGGTATGATTCGAGTCCGGAAGGCAATGAAGCAGGGGTTGAAGAAAATTATTGGATGCAGCTGGATTGGAATAAAAAACCATATATTTATGTTTGAGGCAGATCAGTTACAGCATGAGGGTGGAAAAGATCTATTTTTAATGTTGGAACTATTAACTTGGGACTTGGAAGAAAAAGGCGGTATTCATATACATCATAAGACAGAGTGTGCTGAGTGGAGTAAGATTGAAATAGAGCTAGAAAATTGTAAAACTCAGGCTCTGATTTGTTGATAACTCTAGAGTCCTCTTCTCTCTATATATCCCTTAGCCAGCATACCTAGAATAAAGAGGTTAAAGAAGATCACTATGTATGTTTATGGTTTTGCATATGTTTTTGTTTAACCCAAATGCTAATGAAGGCTGGCTTGATATACTCCTTGCCAAGTTTGTCTAGGTATATATAAATTAATTTGATTAGTAGATGGAAAGTTTTGGTTTTAATTTAAATTATTGATAAAGGGCAATGAATAGCTATTATATAGTGAATAATCATATCATATAACTGTTGAGTTCATAGGCTTGAAAAAAGTAATGACTTTTCTACACTTCTTGAAATGCTTGATGCTAAACTTTAGTTTGACAGGTGTTGTTCATTATCTAGTGCAAATGACAAGAAGAAAATGGATTCTATTATTTTTATGAAAACACTAATTACTAGTTTGCTCAGCAAGTTGCAGTGCGAAGAAGTGATTAGTATAGCATCTGTTGCTGCTCTGAGCAAAGATGATACTGTCTTGGCCCAGTTAAAATATGCATATAAAGGTATTCATGGTTATACTCTCCAATTTGTAAAGAATAGGCTCATGGGATATCATGATATTGTCTAATACTGTGTATAATGTGTTGGCACTCCAGTACCAGTAACCTGGAGTTCTATGTGGTTTCTGTAGTTAAAAAATTTGGCAATTAATGCTCAGAAAATAAGGCCTGTGGTGGTAAAGGTAAGCAGATGCCAGTTCATTAAAGGTCAAGCAAGACAACTTCTTCTCTATTTCATCTTGTATTAAATAAGATAACTAAATTCTGAATACATGGGCAAATCTTGACCCTGAGTGTTTTTGTTCTGTGCATGTGCTTGATAGTACTTTGTTCTCACATTAGCGGGAGATGGCGGTAGCAGTGAGGTTTGTAGAGAGATAAAAATAAAAAGAAATTCATCTCTTAATTGTTTTCAGTTCTCCAGGAGATAAACCTTGTTTCTCAGTTTCTCATATTAACTACCTTTTCAGATGATTTTGCTGGTTTGAACTTTGCTGCAGTTATGGAAGCCCCTCTCATTTTTGTTTGTTGCAAAAATGGATGTGATGTAAAAACACATATATCAGAAGACTTTTGAAGTATAATTTCATAAAAGGGTGAGACAGGCCTATTTTTCTATCTTCTGAACTCATTTGAGGTTTAGGCTGGATAATATTAGTTACTTTTGGCAGGTGATGATATTGGTGTTAAGGGCCAAGCTCATGGAATCCAAAGCATCTGGGTGGATGGAACTGATGGACTTTTTGTTTTTAGAGCATTTGATGTAGGTTAGAGAAAAGACGGAAGTTAGCCTGGACCTGTCTTAATTGAGGTGAGATCACATTTGGCATCTCCTTTTAAAAGCCAAAACTTAAATTGTGCCATGATATCATTCTTCAGCTTTTAGATGTTGTGTAATGCCAAAACAATTTTTTTTAAAGGGTAAGATCACAAATTTGTTGGAAAGACCAATGGCATCCAACGAATTAACTTTAAAAACCAAAAACCATATAAGAACTAAGAAGTGACACTGTTCCTAACTTTTCTTGACATCATTGTTCCATGTAATAATAATATTAATAGCTGTGTCTAAACTTGGGACCTTTTGTCCGTAAGAGTACCCTTTATCACTTAGAAATTCAGATTCCACTTTGGAATTCTCAGCTTTTGAATCTTAGGAGAAGGAGATGGGCTGGGATGTGGGAGGTTCACCTATCTTTGTGTAGCCTAAGGTCCATTGGATACTCAAAAGAAATTATAACTGGTTGATTTTAATTAATGCATGCTCTTGTGTCATGGGTCGAGATTTAAGCTCTGACCCGCGTAGCTCTAGGATCCGGATATTCACCCTTCTGACATCTCAGATTAGCCTGATTGTCACGGTTCACACCCTTGTGAGGTATTGTCCGTTTTGACCCTCTTGGTCTCATGGTTTTGTCTTACAAAAGGCGCCTCACAATGAAGAAATGGTGTGAACTCTTTTATACCCCAGTGACTCACCTTTTATGTTCGATGTGGGATTCAGGACTCCTCCTTAGTTCCGTGACATTCTTTCCAACCTAACCTCATGACACCCTTGTCACGGAAACTGGCCACTTTGCCTACTCCCCTTGGAGGGCTTGGCGTGGATCAAACGGTTTAGGGTTGGCTCTGATACTACTTGTCACGGCTCGAGATTTAAGCTCTGACCCGCGCGACTCTAGGACCCGGGTATTCACCCTTCTGACGTCCCAAATTAGCCTGACTGCCACGGTTCACACCCTTGTGAGGTATTGTTCGCTCTGGCTCTCCTAGCCTCACAATTTTATTCTACAAAAGATGTCTCACAAGGAAGAGATGGTATGAACTCTTTTATACCCTAATGACCCACCTTTTATGTTCGATGTGGGATTCAGGACTCCTCCTTAGGTCCGTGGTATTTGCATATAGAGTAGGTTCCATGTTTATAAATGTTGAATCATTAATCAATGATTTCACCTACCAAGTATTGTCCTTTTGGTGAATTTGAATTCTGGAAAATAGGTTGAAGTCCTGTAAATAAATTTAGATAATATGGCTGGTGCAGTGAAAGAGATGAAACTGAGCTTTCAAGATGATTAAGAAGCAGGTGGGTCATGATTCAGAAGAAAATGGGTTATTTAAATATGTTTAAATAACTTTGTCTATGCCACATTCTATAATTATCTTATAATCTGTATGTATTTACACATATCTGCAGCTATTGCAACCTATTGAAGTCACAGAGAAACCTCCACGAACAGATTTGTTCTGGGATTGCTATGATCTTCCACCATCTAACCTTTTTGATCAAGAGAAACTATCAACAACATTTCTCCTGTGATGTTTCTTTCTGAATAACTGTTTTTAAACCATGAACAGAGAGAGTTTCTGTCTTTAAACTGTTTATATTCCCATTACTTGAATTAGAGAGTATTTCATAATGGTCCTTGTGACAGAAATAAATGGGGACTTCAAAAATTCTTATGGTAGAATTGATTTGTGCTTTTTTTTTTTTCCCTTGTTTTGATCCAGATAGTGAATTTATGTCCTTTCATTCATAAATCCTGCAGCTCTTTCCTCTTAATTTCTTCTTCATTTTATGGTCTTTGTTAAATGAAGGAAAAAAATAAGAAAAAAAAGAATTAATGTTAAATTTACCATTGTTTTATGGGTTGATATTTGATTTTGCCTTGGAAGTACATTGGCAAAATTTGCCAATATTTGTATTAACATAATATTTCATTAAACAATTTTTTTTGTACAAAAATCAATGAGTTTTGAAGTACATCAATAAAATTAAAGTACCTTATTAAAATTTAATATTAGGTCATAGCAAAGTATCAACAACTAAAAAAAATTGATCTATCATTTTTTATTTAAAATATTATTAATAACTAATACGTAATAATCAAATCAATCTTTATAATTGACCCATTCATATGCAAGAAATTTCATAGTTTAACTAGCTTAATTTATTGGTTTTAGATCAATTCGATCATACAATTATAGTCCATTGTAACTTAGAAAATGCAGCCAAATTACATTAGATTATGTTTGGTTAATGTTTTTACTATTTTTTTTAATAAAAATAAATAATAAAGAGTAAAAGTAACAATGAAATGTAATCTTAGTTATATTTAAGTTAGTATTTAATATCATTTTCAAATTATTATTGTAATGTAATTACCAAAATGATGTTATTATTAAAATGATTTTATCACCTATGATTTTAAAATCACTTTATTTGGTTAATAATTATTAATTCATTAGAATTAAAAATAACTATATTTGGTTTTACTAAAAATTATATTATTTTATTTAAAAATACAAAAATAACATATTATAATAGTTATATAAATTAATAATTTTTACGTTATTTGAAGATAATAATTTTAAAATATAGTAATATTTTATTTATTTTATAATAAAATATAATAAAATTAATAAATTAATAAATAATTTATTTATTAGATAAACTAATTTTTATAATATAAATTATGTAAAAAAATATTTAAATTAAAAAATACAACTAATTTATTAAATTCATAATAAAAGAAAAAAAGTAAAAAAATATAAATTATTTTTTAACTTGTTACAACAAATATTAGTTCGAAAATATAAAAATTTATAATATAAAATGATTATAATTTTAAAATGAAGCAAATTTTAATTCACATTAAATTAATAATATTGACTATTATTAATTTTATATATCACTTTACCTATAATAAAACTTTTTCACTATTTTGGATGAAAATTAAATTATTATCCTAAGTAATAATCTTATCACTTTTAGTGATCCAAAATCACTGTTATATGTGATTACAAAATACTTATCAAATATAGTAATTTAATCACCATGTATATTACCATAATATTTATTTGATTTGTTAGTTCTATATCAAAATTGTACCTTAAAAGTATGTTTAGTTCAGGAAAATTAAAAAAATTTTCTCTTAGAGTTTTGATTGTGGTAATTGAATTCCTACATTTGGTTCTAGGGTTACCTGATTTCTAGAAAAAATGTCAAATTTTAAATAGTACTTAAAATTTTTAAATCATAAACCTACTTTTTCTTGTGGTATTTTAGGATTCTTGACAGAAAGTTGCTTGAGTTTTAAATTTGACCTGAATAAGAAATTTTTTTTTATCTATATTACATTTTTGAAAAGCAAGTTTAGAATTGAAATTAAATTATATTTTAAGTCAATTATAACGTTTCTTGCGTCCAAACGCAGTTATTGATACATTTTTGTTGAGTTTCCAATTTTATTATATAACTGGCTATTACGATGTTTTTATTAAATATACATTGTATTTGAGTTAAGAAGTGTAACTATTACAACATTTTAATAAAAAAAAAACACCGTAATTGATTAATAAAGTGCAAGTTGTTGATAGATATGATATGCCTTGCACTATTTCACATCAAAGCGAGGTGTTTATATAATTAGTAAAAATATAGTAGGGAAAAAAAAGCTTAGTCATGGATTGAAAAGATGGAATAATCCATGTCTAATTAATGCTTAATTTGATCCATTCAACTTATCTAACTCTCAATAATATTTTTTAACATTTATAGAAGACGTTTCTCTATTATTTTCATTCATATTTGTAATGAAAATGACACATGATAAGTCAATTACAGCATTTTAATGAAAAAATGCTGTAATTGATTAACTTAATGGTGTTTCTTGATTCAAACATCATAATTGAGTCATTTTAATTTTAAAATTTAGGTTAATTACGACGTTGCTTTCATTAAAATATCATAATTGAGTATTTTCAATTTTTATATGCAAGCCATATCTGTGGTATTCTTATAATTGGTACAATT